CAGCCGATGGCAAGTTTGGCAAATTTTCCAAGAGTATCTCACATTTCACAGCTTGTTGGCTTTCTAGGACGTTGATCTAAACAGCATGCGGAAGGAATTTTGTTTTTCCGTGCAGTTTTCCAGCTGAAACGGGTTCCAAAAAGCAGCTCTAGTCCGGGCACCGAAACGGGCCCCAGATATCCTGGCTTTCTTCGTTGGACATACAAGCTCACGCAATTCGGGGCCCCAAATTAGGGCCCAGTTATGCCGTTTTTTTGTGAAGCAGATGCCACATCTGCGTACACAGCTGGCCGTTGCGTGCAACAGTATATAAACCTCGCCAGCTCTGTTTTGCATTTTGCCGGTGTTCCTTCAAAACTCAAAATAACAAGTGGAACGCTCGGAAACATGTGAACCTTGCAAAGAGAATTTTCTCACACTGTAGTTGGCATTCAGCATTGGCCTAAATGGCGGCCGAGGCCGGCTGGCCTTCTTGCTGCCCTTCATCAAGCACTTTGACGTGGGCGTTCCAGAGAAAATTCTTCACTGTATCCTCGGTTGAGCGCGCTTGAGCCTTGTGAGAGCAGCAGCATGTGCGTGCTGCTGATGAACGGGGAGCTGAGCCGCGTGTCTCGCCCACGCGTGCCTGCAGTCATGTGTTCCGCCGCCTCCATGAACGGACGAGCGAAGTCCGGCTCGATCATTTCAGCATCGCCAGAGACACGCCGAACCACAAGCAGTGACGCAACCACTTAGGCACATCCGCAAGAAGATTTGTGGCAATGCGAACGATGGCGATGAGGGCAGAGAGCACATCTGCTCCAGGCGCGCGCCGCCAGGATTGCAGTCAGGTCATCCGAAATCAGCATCTGTCCAGTTCAACCAGATTGCAACCTAGGTTGAATTTCGTTTGGCATCTGCTTATGCTGGAAAGCCTCCAAGTTTGCGTTCTGTTTCGCTGTATTTCTCGCGTTTGGGATGCTTTCAGTCGGCCCACGGTTGTTGTCGATCGGTCACTGAGGCACCGTAGCTTGTGCTGAACGGCCAACACCGGCGAAACCTGTGCTAGCTGTCGACCTCTGTTAATTAGCTGCCATGTTTCACCGCTGTTTTCGTTTGTTTGTTAGTTTGTTTGTTTGTAGGGACCAAGTGCCACAGCTGTAGTCGACGAGGCTCGCTCAAGCCAAAAAAGTTCGGCAATGCTTTCAGTCCCGCGCTTGAAGTTTTGCATTCCACCGATTCAAGGAGGGACTTGACAACGAAAAATGAGCACAGCTCATAAATTGTTTTCGTGTGTTGGTTTCAAAAGTCAAACAAAAACTAGAAGACAATTGGCCCGAAAGCATCATCAGCGAAGATTGTGGGGCTATATGATAGATCCAGTGTATAGGATCGTAAAGTCACAGAATCAAGAGTCATAGAGTCCATGAGTCATGAGTCATAAAGTCATAGAGTTGCAGTGAGATAGCGTCATAGAGTCGTAGTGAGATAGAGTCACTGTATAGGATCGTAAAGTCACAGAGTCAAGAGTCATAGAGTCCATGAGTCATGAGTCATAAAGTCATAGAGTTGCAGTGAGACAGCGTCATAGAGTCGTAGTGAGATAGAGTCACGGAGTCATGGAGTCATCTATGTACCATGCACTTGACTCGATGTAGTTCACTCTATGCTCTATGTGTGGGAACGCTTAATCGAGATACGCATAGCGTAAGGGCTCATAGCCTGACCCGGACCTCGAAATGCCGATACAGTCAAGAGTCATAGAGTCCATGAGTCATGAGTCATAAAGTCATAGAGTTACAGTGAGATAACGTCATAGAGTCATAGTGAGATAAAGTCACGTTGCTTGCTCGCTCAATAATGGAGTATGTGGTACATGCAAAAAATATCTCGCTTCCGAGCCTGCAGAAGTCGTCGGCCAGGCAGCGGCGCGGTGCACCGTCGCAAGACAGCGTGCGCGCCGTACAAGCGCATGAATATATGTGTCTATCTATCTATCTATCTATCTATATATATATATATCTATCCATATATATATATATATGGATAGATAGATATATATATATATATATATGTATATTATTACGGAACGCAAATTCCCCATGAAGCCTGCTCCCCGACAATGCACCAGACACCAGCATAGGAAGATGTTGCAACATGCAGCCCCTCACGAGCAGAGCCTGCCGGTCAAACACGTGCAATGACAGGCGCAGATGCTGTCACAATAATGGAGTATGTGGTACATGCAAAAAAAATCTCGCTTCCTAGCCTGCAGAAGTCGTCGGCCAGGCAGCGGCGCGGTGCGCCGTTGCAAGACAGCCTGCGCGCCGTACAAGCGCATGAATATATGTGTCTATCTATCTATTTATCTATCTATATATATACTTATATAAATATATATCTATCCATATATATATATATATATATATGGATAGATATATATATATATATATATATGTATATTATTATTATCGATATATGCATTTGCCAATGCCAATCCCTCTGAAGGGTTGCCAATTGACCTGTTGCACACCTACCGTTTAGAACAGTCGAAGAGGCAAACCCCTCTCAAGCCAATCCCTGTGAAGGCTTCCGCGGGCACCGCAAAATGTGTAACTTCACCTCGCGTTCGAGCACTCGACAACGCCAATCTGTGTGAAGGGTTGCAAAATTCATTTGAATGCTCATCAAAAATTACAACTTTACCTCGCGTTCGAACACTCGACCACGCCTATCCCTGTGAGGGGTTGCAAAATTCATCTCAATGCTCATCAAAAATTGCAACTTTACCTCGCGTTCGAACACTCCACCACGCCAATCCCTGTGAAGGGTTGCAAAATTCAGCTCAATGCACAAAAAAAAAAGCAACTTTACCTCGCGTTCGAACACTCGACCACGCCAATCCCTGTGAAGGGTTGCAAAAATCATCTCAATGCACAAAAAAAAATGCAACTTTACTTCGCGTTCGAACACTCCACCACGCCAATCCCTGTGAAGGGTTGCAAAATTCAGCTCAATGCACATCAAAAAATGCAACTTTACCTCGCGTTCGAACACTCGACCACGCCAATCCCTGTGAAGGGTTGCAAAAATCATTTCAATGCACATAAAAAAATGCAACTTTACCTCGCGTTCGTGCATTCGACCATGCCAATCCCTGTGAGAGGTCGCAAAATACCAATCCGTGTGAAGGGTTGCAAAATGCAGTTGAGCTGCGCCCAAACCCTGTGAAGGGTTGCGCGGCGCCCGCAAAATGTGTAACTTTACCTCGCGTTTGAACGCCCGAGAGTTCCAATCCCTGTGAAGGGTTGCGCCGGCACCCTAAAATGTGTAACTTTACCTCGCGTTTGAACGCCCGAGAGTTCCAATCCCTGTGAAGGGTTGCGCCGGGCGCCTAAAATGTGTAACTTTACCTCGCGTTTGAACGCCCGAGGAGGCCCTGTGAAGGGTTGCGCCGGCACCCTAAAATGTGTAACTTTACCTCGCGTTTGAACGCCCGAGGAGGCGAATCCCTGTGAAGGGTTGCGCCGGGCGCCTAAAATGTGTAACTTTACCTCGCGCTTGAACGCCCGAGGAGGCGAATCCCTGTGAAGGGTTGCATTCCCGATGGACGCCGACGGTGCCACCCCCCGGCTTTAGAAGAGAGATTTAGATACCGAGATGTAGAGAGTAAGTCATACAGGCATAGAGAGTCAGTCATAAGTAAGTAAGTAAGTAGAGTCAGTAAGTCAGTACAGTCAAGTAAGTAAGTCAGTAAGTAGTAAGTAGTAAGAAAGTAAGTAGAAGTAGTAAGTAAGTAAGTCAGTAAGTAAGTATAGAGATAGCACAGAGTCAAGTAAGTAAATCAGTTTCAAGTGCTATGAGCTTGAACAGAGATAGTCATCTAGAGTCAAGTATCAAGTGTAGAGTCAAGTAAGGTATAGAGTCAAGTAAGTTGGTTCTATGTCTGTCATCTATGTAGTCATCTGGAGTCAAGTATCAAGTGTAGAGTCAAGTAAGGTATAGAGTCAAGTAAGTTGATTCTATGTCTGTCATCTATGTAGTCATCTATGTACTCATCTGCGGGGCTCCGCACGGAAGAACCCTTCGCGATGCTTTCGGGAAAACAGAAGTCTGGGTTTTTTTTTCGTGCGGCGTTTCAAATGAAATTTTTTCGATGTTTGAAACTGGAAGAGACCATGCTGCATGGAATTGAGAAAATGAATTGCTTAATCTTCGTGGGCTGCTTCATCGTTCAAAACACCAGGTGCAAAAAGTGGAAATCTTCAATTGATACTCTCCGAAATCCATTCACATGTCTTGAAACCGTGCAGGGTTTTACTCTTGTGTGTCTGACACCGTTGACGAATCTCAAAGGAACGGCCTTGTCCGTGGACAAGCTTTAAACGCAGGCAAGTGCATTGCGCCATGTCACAGGATTTTTGGTTCGCGTGTGTTCTCCGCCCCGAGACCATTGCGGGCAACTCCAGACACTTAACTTATTGTTCTTATAAAATTATATTTGTTTGCCATGGCCACGGCAATGTATATTTAGTTTAATTACAGACTTTTTAATGGTTCGTATATTTGAAAAACATCGTTGGCTTTAAAGATGATTCTTCAATTGACATGTTTTTCTTTGCACGTTTTTCACGATTTCACAATTGGTGTCTGCAAGACGTAAGCACCGGTCTTGGTCTGCAAAAAATGCTTTGGCCGCGCCGCTGGAAGCATCGAGCATATTCCTTTAAAGGTGTTGTTACTCTCGGACAATTGGTTGAAAGGATGACAAGCTTTCCTGTTTCCGCCTCAGCCGTTTGTCTCCTCTCAAGCCCGGCCATGGATTTCCTTGAGGACTCGGACGCCTCCGCAAACTCGTCTGAGGACGAGGGGCCGCTTTTGCTGGCCCAACCTCCTGGCAGACTCCGCCACCGTGTGGGCCACAAGGTCCCCCTGCCCGGATTCACGGGCAGGTCTCTAGGGGACGATGTTTCCGGTCAGGCACAACCCGCGTAGCCGCAATCCAGTGCGCTAGCTCCGGCATGGACCGGCATCAGTGGGGAATATGGTTCGGGGAATGTCTTACCTCCTTAGGCGCGGACATAGGTATCCTCTCCGAAACTGGCTTCCACACAGACTCCCACCACACCCTCGCGTGCAAAGGTCTTCTCGCCAGAGAACCCACGGCCGACCGCCACAAAGCCACGGATCAGGTGGGGTGCTCCTTGCCGTCCGTTCGGGCTACCCGGGCCAGTGGTCCGACATCAGCCGGGACACCGACGGCAGAGGACTCGCTGCCACCCTCATCACCTCCACTGGCCCTTCACTCCGATGTCCAGCAGCTCTATTGGCACTGCGTTGACATGCTGCGTATGCTTGGCACGGTGCCATCATCCCTGCAGCACGCGACCCAACTCCATCTGCCCAAACCCTCTGGAGGTTGGCGCCCCCTTTCTATGCTTGAAGAATCCTTCAAAGCCGTAGAAGCTGTGGTCGCGTCTAGGCTTGCTGAGCTGGGGGACCCATGGCACTCGGATGCCCCTTTTAGTCGCTTCAACCGGGCCTACTCCAAAGGCGTCGCCGCAGCCCCGGAAGTCCTCTATCTGGACTGCCTTGTTTGTGAAGATGCACAGCGGTCTGGGCGTCCACTCCTGCGCGTGCCAGCTGATTATGAAAAATTTTTCAACGTTCTCCAGCTGGCGGAGGTCGATGCCCTGCAACAAGGCCGAGGCATTCCCGATTCCGTCCGTCGCCTGCATCACGCCTTGTTCTCCAACATGAGCGTCCAGCTTAGCACCAGATCCGGCCTGACGCCTCCTCTGCCTGTTGCACGTGGCGTGCCTCAAGGAGCTGTCTCCTCACCGGAAGTGTCTCGCGCTGCCCAAGACCCCCTGTTGCGCCTCCGGGCCGTTGATGGTTGATGGTGCCGCCTACCTCACCAGCGCAGGTCGACGGGTCGTGGCCGCGGGCACGTTGACGACATCGAACACTACGGCAGCGGCCTGGCAGATCTCCCTGTCATTCTGCGGAGCCTCGAAACCGGCAGCCAGGCTTCCGGTATAGGGTTCGCCTGATCCAAGTTCTCCGCAACGGACGTAGACAAACTGCTCGGCTAGCGCGGCACTCCCCTCGACCGCCACTCCCACGCACGAGATGACCTCATCAGCAAACTCTCCTCTGTCAGATCCCGCCTATCTAGTAAGTGCTGCGCCTGGGATGAGGTAGCTGCAATGACCCAGTGGGTGCTTGGCGGAGTGCTCGGCTACGCCCCTCTCTTGGGCATCCCTCCCCCGGCGGACTTGCATCGCGAAGACGCCGCTCTCCACAGACTCTTGCATGCAGGACTTGGTGTGCGCAGCACCTCGGAGCGGGTGAGCCTGTCTGCTCCTCGCTCTGACGGGGGCCTGGGCATCCCGTTACTCTCCGAGATGCTCGTAGCCGCTGTGGCTTCTGACCTGCTTCTGCTGCTCATCGGAACCTCCCAAGCTGCTGACCTGGCTCGTGATAGTCTCCGTGCAGCTTTGGACTCCCCGCCAGCCGAGCTACCACAGCACCGCGGTCTGGTTGTCACAGCCCTGCACTTCCTTGCCGGCTACGGCTTGTACCTCAGCGTGTCGACCGACCGCTTCATTAGCCGCCTACTGGACAACCTTAACCCTGCTCCCCACCAGCCGCTACACGGCCCTTTCAACCCTAGCCGATTTGAATCTGCGGCGCATTTTGCGCGATGTGGCATCTTCGCCAACTCTGTCAGAGCCGCCTGGAAACAACTGCTAGCCCAGTATATCCCGCCGTCTCGCTGGGGAGAGGCAGAGCTGTGGTCTAACCTCCTGCCCGAACACCTACCTCTCTCCAGTCAGGCCTGCGCCAGAGCTGCACAACCGGCCCTGCAACAAGCGGATTCTGACTGGCAGCAAGAATGCCTCATCTTTCACGTCCCTGCAGCCCCTGCGCCAGCAGAGGACTGGAGGGATGTGGCCTGGGTAGACCCCTGGCTCCCTTCGGGGGACCCCCGTTCTGGCCACTTGCTCGCCCCCGTTTCCAACTTTACAGCTACCTCTGACTTTGCTCTGTTCGGAGACGGAGGCTTCTCCGCGGCCCAAGGCGCCACTTTCTGCAGCCAAGCGCGCGGTTTTGGCCAGACCGGTCGGTATTGGGAGGACTCATCGTGGGCTTCTCAACGCCTGCACGGCCGCCTCCCCGCCCGGTATGGATGGGAAAATTGCACCGTGCATACGGCTGAACTCCACTCCTTGTTGTGTGCTCTCCGGTTTCGGGTACCGGGTCGTTGGCACCTCCTAGTTTTTGATCGCAGCTCTCTTTTCCAAGTCATGCACTCTGCCTTGCGGGGCACCTTGCACCAACTGCTCCACTCCTCGTGCTGCACGCTTGTGCTCCTTTTGCGCCGCGTGCTGAAACAACTTGAACAGGCTTGGGATGGGACCTGCCCCCTGCCTGCTTGGAAGCTGCATCAACAACACTACCCGGCACACTGGCACACATTCGCACCGATTGGCGACAAACTCAAGTGCCACTCCCGCATAGCCTTCGAGGCCATCGGGCTGGTAGGCCTCGATATTAAAAGTCATCAAGCAGGCTCCCCTATCCCCTTTCCCAACCTTGTCCAGGGCAACGTCGTCCAAGACCAAGGCTGTGATGCAGCCCGCCTGTCCACGTCCCCTGTCGACGTCCGTTTGCCTTCAGGCGGGCCGTTTGCTTGGTTCTCTGATCAAGGCTATATGGTCACTAGCCCCATACGAGAGCACGTCCGGCACAAACTGCGCATCTCTTGCCTCCACGACTGGTGCTCTCGTCCTGTGCAAGGCCTCCTGCCACGGTTGGCTCACGAGGTTCATCAGCCCACACTGGACCCCGCCCTTTACTCGCAGTGCCATTTTTCCGGCCGCTGGGAGCGATGGATGCTCCCTTCTGACCGCCTGCCGCTGGACCTATCTGCCACGGCCTACCGATGCCACCGTGCCATCGGCGGCAGTTGGACAGAGCGCCTCCACGCCCATGCAGATGTGGCCGCCATTGCGGACACGTGGGCGACGCAAGCGGGCCTGCCCTCCCCGCGCATCTGTCCACTCTGCCAAGCTGGGCCTGGCACGCTTCGCCATGTCGTCATGTCGTGCAAGGCCTTAGCCCCGGCCGCAGACATGCTACGCGACGACATAGAGGCTGAACTTCAAACCCTCGCCACCGCCGAGTCACTCCGCCAAGCAGCCCAGGCCTGGCAACAACAGGCTGCTGACGCCCTCCCGGCTCAATGTGCGGAACGAGACGCTCTGCGCTGGCCCATCCTGTCCGCATGGCGGTGGCTTGTGGTTTTCCCCGGGCAGGAGCCCCTCCTTTCTGTTGATGTAGATGGTAGCAGTGCGACAAGCACTGGCCGCGAACGCGGCACAGATCTGGCTTATCGGGCGGTGCTGCCCATCAAACTCGGTAAGGCGCTGTGCACAGATGCCAGCATGGAGCAGACGAAGGCGCTGGAGCATTTTGCCACCCTTCGCCAGCCCCTCACCCTTCAGCAAGAACTACGCTCACTTTCCAAAGCACGGGCCCCACATGCTCCGGCCATCCACCTTACAAAGTGCCTCCTCCTTGGCATCAGGCGTTTACGACAGGCCTACCAAGCACGCTTGGATGCTTGGATACGAATCTGTCGCATCGCTATCCCTCCGGCCTTGGGGGACGATGCTCCAGCTGCTCTGCACCCGGCATCCTCACTCCGCACTTGGTTGGCCACCCCGCCCGGGCAGTCGCTGCTCACTGAGCTCCGTTGGGTCCGCCTGCTGCCTTGGCCAGACTCCGAGCTATGGGTCCGTGCGGCCGACTAGCTGATTCTGCCTTGCTGGCAGCGCTGGCTCAGCACGGGGCTGCAGTCTTCCAAGACGATGCTCCTGCCTGGGGCGACCCTCAATTGCCCACATGGCATGACGCCGTCGCTGGCCTGGCCCAACCGTGCGTCTGCCCGCAGGCCAACATCCAACGCTTATTTTGTTGCTGGACTTGTGGCGGGGCTGCCTGGCCGCCTTCCGGCCGGAACCCCTCACCATGCCCTTTTTGCAAAGCTTGCGTTGGTGTTCCTTGTGCCTCGTGCAACCGCATTCTGCATTCTCGCACGCAGTGCCGTTGGAACTGCGGCGCTCACCCCGCTTATTTCCGGCCTGACGCGGCCCCCCTCTGCCCGGACTGCTGGCTCATGTGGGCCCGCGACTTGCAAGCTTGCCCTTTGCGTCGTCGTCCCCCGCCCCTTGCTGGCGATCTCATACAGCACCTCCAGCATGTTGCCGACTGCTGCCAAGCCGGAGCTGGCTCCCAGGCAGCTCTCCCATCCGTGCTGCGGCTTAAGCATGTTCGGCGGTGGCTGCTGGCACGCATCCGCCAATGTAGTGGCGCGGATCTCGGCAGCTTGCAACAAGACCTGCCCGCCCGCTGCCCGGCTGACACGCCGGAAGACACCTTGCAACGCTTGCTCCTCTTAGCCTCGCAAGCACTCCGTGCGGAGGGCCTCGCCACCCTGCAGCGAGACTTCCTTGTGCCGCTCCCGGTGTAAAAAGAGTGGCCCTCGCCTCTGTTCTCTGCATGCTTTTGTGGCCTTCGGCCTCTCCCGCCTTTTATTTATTTATTATTTATTTATTTTCTTTTCTTTTTTACTCGCCCGCCTTCTCCGGTTACCCACTGTATGTCGCCCCCCCCCCCCTCCTCTTCTGGCCCAAACCCCCCTTTTCGGGCCGAAAACCCAGTCTTGGGCCACTTCTGGCCCAAACCCCCCTTTCCGGGCCGTAAACCCAGACTTGGGCCACTTCTGGCCCAAACCCCAGACTTGGGCCACTTCCGGCGGGTTTCATGTCCCCCCCTTCTCTCGAGGCCAGTCCGGGCCTTCCACGTGCTGCAGTCCCCAGCTGTAGCAGATTCGACCTTGGTATCCATCCCGAGTACAGACTCTAGACTATCCCCCTCTGGAACCTCCCGCGGAGGGGGCCGATGACGCCTACGGAGGCCCCCCGAGATGCTGGGCGGGGAAGAGTGGCGGAGGCCGCAGCTACTGCTGCAGGTCGAACTCTACCTACCTACCTTTCCTGTTTCCGATATATTCGACTGGGTTTCTACTCGAAGAGTGAGGCACCATCTCATCTGCTGCTGAAGTTAAACCGATTTGTCCCCTGTCTGAGTCCGCGACAGAAGCTGGGAATCCACAGGGAAGGTGGTGAGTCCAAGTAGGATCCGGATTTTGCATGATGGCCATTGCACTTCCATTTTTTTCGGAAAGCAGGACCTTGTAAGAGTGGCATGGCTTCACATGTGGCCATTGCAGAGCCTGAGCCAGATCTTTTTTTCACATCGAACGATTCTTGCCGGCAAAGTCTGCACGCCGCAGCTTTCGTCTCACCGATTTGTTGTCTGTTTAGATTCTTGTTCGGACCGAATGCAGCACCACTGACACCAGTTTTGTTAACTTTGCGTTTTCAAAATTTCATTCTGTCGTGTCTGACATGTCATGCACGCGTGCTTCTATTTTTACAAACGTCAGAAAAACATATTTGAGGTCCAGAAAAAGATCCACCGGGGGTCCGCAAAAAGACACAGGGTCAGTTACGAGATGTTTCGAATCTTAAAGTGGAAATCGAAGGTCGTAGTCTTTTTCTAGACAGACATTTCGGGGTCGAAGAAAGAGCAGCCTGAAACAAAATGCTCCTTGAACATGTTTGTTTGTTCGGGTATGTTGCGGGAAGAGCAGAGAAGGAGAAGATGGATCTTGTGGTGACAAGTGTTGAAGGCCACGACAAGCACCACTGGAGCAAATCCCAGCCTCCCAGAGTCAGCTGTGGTGCTGGAACCAGCTGTGACAGAGCCTTCCGTGTTGCCGAATGCATAATGTGGTGATGTGCGACAGTGCGTGATGTGGCTGCATTTGCTTCCACTGTTCTGCTTTGTGCTTGCAGAGTGAGTGCTTGCGGTCTAACCAAATCTGCCAAGCTGCTGTGTGTCGCTTTGCTCCGCTCGACAAATATTTTATTTTTTTGAATTGCTTTTGCAAGTTTCTTGCTTTCTTGCAACTTGTCGGAACCGAGCGCAGCAGCCGTTCTCACCAAGGCTCGCCACCGCCAAAAACTCGACTTTGTTCGAACCGCGTGGTTTTCTCCCAGCTGCAAACCGGAAGAAACATCGGAAGTCAGGTTTGAACTTCAAGTTCATGCTGCTTGGTGCCCAAATTGAAAAGTTCCGCAGTCCAATCTGTGTTGTGAGATTGGTTCGTGAACCAAAACCAACCAGCATGGACCAACACTCGACTCGAACATTGAACCGAACATGCGCGGAAAGAATTTTGCTGGACGGACGCTACAATGTTCACCAATCGCTGTGTTTTGAGAACAACTTTCATCCGAGGTTCGGCAATGGCGTTTCCCAGACTTGATCGATCAACATGTGTCAATAGCGATAGTGGCTGCAATTAAAATGCGAGTGCACATTTGTCTATTTGTTGGGTGACATTGATTGATACGTGAGGCATTTTAACAACTACATGCAGGCATCTGAACAATTTAACAAACACATAAAGCAAGGCAGAGAAGGCGCCCAAAGATGCCACAACATGGAACTCCAAGCACCTGTCCGGTATTTGCGGGAAGTTTTTGCAGGACATGGGGAAAGCAAGGGTTCTCTTTGACAGCATTTCCGGGGAAGATCTCACGGAGAAGCGAAGAAGAAGCTCCTTCGGCAGCGTTTGTGTTTACTTCTGAAGACCAAATGCGTGGTGGGCGGGCATGAAGATGAAGCTGCTGGGAATCACCGGGAAACAGGTCGACAAAACTGAATTGAGCGGCTTCAATGAAGCGAACCACGAAGTTCTCGTGCAGAACTATGAAGTTCCAGCAGCGGTGGTGCGTCACACGAACTCTGACAGCAGGAAGTTTTGTGAATGGCCTCTCGGGGCTGTGATTTCTGAGTGGATGGGCTTTACTTCCTTCCACTCTGCTTTTGAAAGTGTTCCTGGCTCTTTGACGTTGTGCCAGGGGCTGATTCGTGCCTGAAAGGGTCAGACTCAGAGCTTGAACAATGAGCGATCAAAAACCTTTTTGTTTTCTGCAGACAGCACGTGCGATGGCTGTTCACGTCCTGGAGAACAAACGAAGCTTGCCCCCATGATGCTTGTAAGCTTGGAAACCCCAAGCGCAATGAGAGGCTCCAAAACCCCTTAAATAAGGAGTATACCTTACATTATAATAGGATCCCTTATATGATTTCAGGTATATTCCCTAATTAAGGGGTTTTGGAGGCTCTGGGAACGTGTGCGAAACTCTCGAGAGGCTCCAATCCTCTTGGCTCAGGCGCAGCCATGACGACACCCTCATGCTCGGAAGAACCCAACACTTCGAGCCCTTCCCAAATGTGTCGCCCCAACCTTCTATTTCCAATGGCACTGAAAGCGCACAAGTATTTGATCGAAGGCTTTCTGGATTCAACACGTCGTGTGGCTGCAGCGCACGAATCGTGTTTGCAGCAGCTGGTAAGCTCTCCATTTCTGCCGTCATGCTATGCTCGTTGCCGATCGGATCAGCCATGTCGCAAACAGCTGCTTGGCTGCGCTTCAATGCAGACACATGATGGTATGCCGGTATGTATGCATACAGGCAGTGACGCCACATTGACATCAGTTGCCGGTTCTTTCTTTCCTTGCTGTGTTCATAGCAGCACTTGGACTCAGGCAAATGGAGCTGCCGACGATGGTTTGAGGCGCATAAGGACAATGAGATGTGCGGTACGATTAAACCTTTCTTACTGTTGCGGTGTTACCATCGCCACACCAGATGGTTAAAACGCTGCAGGGCGATGACGAACCTGATGAGGATCATGCTTTCGCAGGTTTTAGTCAGATTATTGGCGTGCTGCTGTTGTTGGCTTTCTGTTGCGTCGGATTGTATCGAGTCTGGGTCGCCAGTCTCAGCCTAAGATTTGGTGGCAACCTTGGCCATTCTGCCCTGTCCAGGGCTACGCTGGACACAAATGCTTTCGCGCAAAGTTCGCATGGTTTGAGCGCAGTCATCAAAATGGGTGAGGACCCCAGTCTGAGTAAGACATTGCGTGTTGCGAGGCCTCGGGACAGGAGGATTCTCCGCAAAGATGCACCATGTAGCCGGTGGGCACAGTGTTAAAGACAAGTTGCAGCTATATAGAACGGAAAGGAATCGAAAGAACAACATGGCATTGCGTTACACATACTAAAAGTGATAGTTCTCGTCGTAGAAGAAAGGTTGCGAGGGTCACGGTAGCACGGGTCATAATATTGTGTTTACAGTCATGACCAATAAAGCATGATTGCTTGCAGCTGCAAAAGCCATGATAGTACTGCAACCGCACAAGCTCGTATCACTGATTGTTGTAGTATTGATACTGGTAGAAAGTCGCAAAGCCGCAAAGCACAACAATTACCACAACACTACCGGAAACTTTCGTTGTGTCGCAGTAGTTTTGTCAGTGGCAGAAGGATTCTGATGATGCTTAGTAGTAGTAGAAGAAGTAGAGTAGAAGTAGAAGAATTAGAAGTAGAAGTAGAAGAAGTAGTAGTAGCAGCTGCCGCAGCCGTTGTCGGCTTCACCGTCGCGCACCCACACCACCCACACCACCCACACCACCCACACCACCCACACCACCCACACCACCCACACCACCCACACCACCCACACCACCCACACCACCCACACCACCTACACCACCCACACCACCCACACCACCCGCACCACCCACACCACCCGCACCACCCGCACCACCCACACCAACTACAATTGCCACTGCATCTACCAGCACTACCAATTCCAGTACAAGTACCAGTACC